ATGCCTCCTGGGAGGACCCAGAGGCAATGCACCCAGTGGACAGCTTCAGACCATACCAGATTATAGCTCTACACATCCACAAGTGACACTTTCAAGGGGCAGACTCAGTGAACACCTAAGTCCCACTGAAGCAAGTCCTGCTCCATAGGGGTGTCTCTTGCACATCAGCTCTACTACTGTAGTCACAAGCTGGTCCTGACAGCCAATTGGCCTGGAGGTCAACGCCTCCCAGTGACACCAACAACAATCAAGGCTCAACTACAACAAGACTGTGCACACAGCCAATACTGGGGTGCACCTAGAATGCCCAGCTCAAGTGACTCGGGAGGCTGAGCCACTGGGCCCCGCAGGACACCTACTACACAAGACCACTCTGCCAATTCCAGAAGTCATAGCAGCTCTACCTAATACATAGAAACAAACACAGGGAAGCAAACAAAATGCAGAGAAAAAGAAACATGTCACAAATGAAAGAACAGAAGAAAACTCCAGGAAAAAAAACAAAAATGTTAATGAAATGGAAGCAAACAAACTACTAAATACACACTTCAGAACAATGGTTATAAGTTTGCTCAAGTATCTTAATGAGAGCTTCAAGGGACTTAGTGAGACTTTCAAGGATCTTAGTGAGAATTCAGAGACATGAAAAAAAACTAGTCGGAAATTAAGCATACACTAACTGAAATAAAGAATAATTTACAGCGATTCAACAGTAGAGTAGAGGATTATGAGAATCAAATCAATAATTTGGACTATGAGGAAGCAAAAAGCACCCAAACAGAAAAACAAAAAGAAAAAAGAATCCAAAAATATGAAGATACTGTAAGGAGCCTCTAGGACAACTTCAAGTATACCAACATTTGCATTATGGGGATGCCAGAAGGAGAATAAAGAGAGCAAGATACTGAAAAGCTATTTGAATTAATAATAACAGAAAACTTCCCCTACCAGTGAAAGAAATAGATTTACAAGTCAAGGAAGCACAGAGAGTCCCAAACAAGAGGAATCCTAACAGGCCCACACCAAGACACCTCATAATTTAAATGACA